CAGGATTTTTATTCTGCTTTGCTGCCTATTTATGCATTGTATTTTTCCTATATTGGACTCTGCTTCATTGCATCAGAAGTGTTCTTGCATTAAACTATGTTTCAGGTAAACCCAGTTATGACAAACTACGCCTTTATCCTCTAGAAAACTGTAACTATTAGGAAAGTTTTCACTGTTTTAAATCAAAATTCTTTCATTTCTGCTGTTGCCTTATCATTGATACACTTTTTTCAAATAGTATATGAGAAAGATAAGAAGGAATAGTTTTGTACCTGCTACAAACAAAGGCAAATATCTCTATAAGCTTGGAGAAAATACTAAAGTAATTGGTTGGGAGGGAGGGGGGAGAAAAAAAAAAAGACCCAGGAACTGTACCTGCTTAAGAAATCTGTCAGACGCTTGGCTATGCTTAGCTAATACATTTGGCAGGGCAGGGTTTGCATATTCAAATTGAGGATTGTATGTGAAATCTGACTTGAAGAATTTCATCTTCTCTTTCTCCACATTGGAAGGCTTGATGGCAGTTAGTAAACAGAGTTTTCGGCCGGAGACGTCTCCCTCTTTTCCGTGGCTTTTTGATAACTGGGATTGCTTTGGCTTTGTTAGATTAAAATGCCTCTTAGTTCTACTTCTGGGTCGAGGAGGCAGTCCTAAGCTGTTCCCTGCAACAGAAATACCGTTTGTAAACTTCATGCTGCTAGCCACCGGGCTAGTGATGAAGATGGAGGGCTGTCGGTTTGTGCAGTACCATCCACTGCTGAGCAAAGGCAGTGGGACTTTGATTTTGCGATGCTCACTGCTTCGCAAGGTGGCAGAACACTTTATGGCTTTTCTGTGTTTCTTATGGTGAGCAGATGACTGCTTTTGAGCATGGTGTTTTTTCTCTTCTTTGCTCTGCAGAAGGACATTGTAGCTACTGGTTCCTGTTGTGAAAATGTCCTTAAGAATCCCAGTAGGCAAGTGCTGGAGACTGTTTTCATTATTAATGTTCAGCTTATGTTCTTCTGGACTCAGGACTGATTTCTTAGAGAGCTCTTGCTTAGGCCAGTGAAGTTTTTCTGCATTAAAAAAATAAAAAAACAAATTTGGTGTTCCATACAGCAATATAAACCTTAAAACTCCCAAAATGGCAACATAAACGAAATACAGAACTTGACTAGAAATAACTTGGCATGACTGCAGTTAGCACAGTCCTGATGTTTAGACATATGGAAGAAGAGTGTGTGTGTACATCAGCTTTAGGCAAATTAGACTGGGCTTGTAAGATCTAGCTAAACAAGTATTCCGTGTCTGCAGCTCCACGTGTAGATGCACAGCCTGCAGGAGCACACTCAGCTTGCAGCTAAGAACTAACTGGTTTAAAGGAGATTCCTATGCGTGGCTTTACAAATATGTACTGCCACACTGATATCTTAAACTTTTAAGCAAGACCTGATCCATCTTTATCATGCAAGGAAGGCCTCTGCACAGATAAAGGATAACTTAAACTAGGAAACAGCGTAGCAATACATGGGCTGTGCTGGCTATGAAGTTCCACAGGGATTTGTGCTAGGAGACAGGCAGTCTGGTGTGGTCTCATCTGTAAAATCTGATTCACAGGACTCCTCGGGAAGGATGAGGGTGTTTAGAAGGGCCTAGCCACTGAACTATTTGCAACTATTTGTAGAAATAGTAGAGTAAGTTTAAAGGATTTCAGTGTTTGTTCCTTCCTTAATACAGAGAGAAAACTATATTTAAAAAAGGGGGAGGGAGAGAAAAAGAGAGAGTCAGAAGAGATCAGTTAGTTACAAATACATCTCTAAACTCTTAGCCACGCTGGCAATGCATTTACTCAAGGCTCTATGCTAACAGCTAGGTTAAGAACCTGCTCGAGAAGAAACCCCATAAACTAAACTGAATGCAAGAAGCAAATAAGCTTCCTTTAGTGAAGGAACCCTCCTCTCTTGCTCTGATCCCAGGGATAGCCTTCTGGGGAGACAGGTCCATGGTGCAGAGTGGCTGCACGTGAAAGTCACTGAGGATTAAAATTGTGTTCAATACTTGTGATGACTTGTCAGAGAGAACTGACCTCTACTCATTGGTCCTAACCTCCCCCTTCTCCCGCAAACTAGTTGCTGAAACTCTAGGTGACCTGAAAGTAACGGCATAAATAAAATCTCTGCCACAGAGAAATGCTTCCTACTTCTGCATCTAAAATGAAGGAATTCACAGAACAGAAGACATGGCCAGAGGTCGATTAAGAGCCCCCAAAGGGGATTCTAGCTTCAGCCCACGGCTAGATATAGCTGAGCTGTAATTACTTTACATGTAGTAATTACACCCTGAATGGAACATTAATAAAAAGTTCATTAAAAGCCTCCAAGGAAAATAAATCAATTGTAGTTTAATTTCAGATTTATTTTCACAGTAAAATTAGGTTTTGCTCCCAAATTAAGCACCGTAACAAAGCATTTCATGTCTCCAAAACTGTCAGTTCCATGTAAATTTGTTTTCTTCAAATCTCCTGAAGATGTTGTTCAAACAACAAAAAGACAGGTATCCTGTCTGCAGGAACGTACAATGAGAAGCAATGCACTAGAAAGATGGAAGCACTAGCTTGCTCTCCTTCACTAAAACAAGCATACCTGATAAAAGATCACTTTTGTTGCACAGTTAAGTTTGAGACTCTTTTTTTCTGTGCCCGGAGGAGGAATGAGCTCCTTGGCTTTCCTGTCCAAATTCCACTGGATCGCTTTATCAGGTACATGACAACCTGCTTAGCTGGCTTATCTTGCTTTAGCATGTACTGCAGTGGTGAGAAACCACAGCTCTCATCACAAGGAAAAGGCATTCATCTATGCGTGCACTCATCTACAAGCAGCTGCTACATAATGGAAGGTGGGTTTTGGACAGAACAGGATGACTGCTCCCACATCTTTCTTGGCAGGTGTTTAAGACTGGTTTTACGCCTGCACCAAATACGACAGTGCAAGAATCCTTCCCTTTAGGAAAGGTAAACAAAAAGTAATTTTTTTTAGACTAAGCAGGGAAACATGCAAAATAGCATATGATTTTGCTTGTGTAGACAAAATACAGTGTAAGTTTAGGTGCCACTTAAAATTTGGAAGCTGGAAAACAATCTAATTCTAATGGTGGCAATGCTTCACCTTCTTTAACCAATTCTCAACAACCACAGAGAGCAGAAAAGTCTTAAGTTGCCACTGATAGGGACTAAAGCGAACTAATAGCACAAGTGTATTTAAGAAATGATAAATAAGAAGAAAACAAATAAAATTTGAAGAAAAAACTCAAAATGACCTTAAACAACCCCCTAAACCCTCCTGTCAATCCAGTACAAAAGAACTCATGCCAATAAGCTCTCAGAGCAAAGCAGTACTAGCAGTACTGTTAGCCAATAACAAACACATCATCCGTTTCTGAATCTGTACCTGCTTCTGAACACCACACACACACACACACACACAACGGTTTAGGTTGGAAGGGACCTCTGGAGATCATCTAGTCCAACCTCCTTGCTCAAGCAGGGTCCTCTAGAGCATATTGCCCAGGATCGCACCCAGGCGGGTTTTGAATATTTCCAGGGAAGGAGACTCCACCACCTCTCTGGGCAACCTGTTCCAGTGCTCTGTCACCCCCACAGTGAAGAAGTTTTTCCTCAGGTTTAGATGGAAATTCCAGGTCAGAACCCTCCTGCAAGTATCATGAGCAGTTGAGTACTGCACACTCAGCTGTAGGTTTTTTACATGCATGTGGTCCATATACAAAAAAAATTGTCCCCAAATCTGCAGTTACCTTTATATTTGCAGTCTAGTAGCAAACTATTTATCAGCTGCCAAACAAAGCATGGCTGTTTTTAATCTTCTCCCAACTAAACATGTTTGAAGTACATTTGTGCTGGAAGCCTAGAATCAACAGATGATATAGTAGATTTGAAAGATTATATCAGATTATATTTGGCATAGTTGCCACAAAGATCATGTAACTGCTGTTCTAAATCCTCTGATTAGTAATGTGAACTTCACTATTTTACAAAAAGAACTATAAAACAAAATATCTGAGGCAATGTCAAAGCCATCTTGCAAAGCAACACCAAACTCTTAAAGTTATTGTTCTGTTTGTTGTGGTGACTAATACTGATTAAAAATATTTTACTTATTCTGTGTTACAGAAAGCTATGTATCTCACCCCTGACCATAGCATGTATCATATCTTGAAGGATGTATCATGTCCAACAACTCGTCGTTTTGAACACTCTCGCGGTTGGAAGTTGCAAAAAACAATGTGTGATCTGCCTGTCGCCTTGGTGAGAGACAGGGAAAGATCACTTGATTTCTCCTCTTTTCCCATGGAGTTCTCCATACAGATGAAAAAGAAAAAATACTTAGCTGTTTATTCCCAAGCCAACTGAAGAGCTGCTTGTTGTTAAGAATTTATTCAGTCTTATTCAGAACTTATTCAGTCTGAAATTGCTGTAGGCTTGTTCAAAACATAGCTACCCTTCCCCTTCTAAAACTGAATGTGGAAGTAGGATTATATTTGTCTTAGGCTGTCAAACACAATTCTTGCTGGGTCTAAAAGCCTCCAAGGAGTTGCTCCCAAATCCATGTAATGCCCTTGAGTGCTACTGTTTGCAGCCAAACATCTGTCAAAGGAAAGTTTTAGTGCACAAACGGCAAGTTTGCGCCTCCTCTCTTGTGCTAGTGGAAGTGCCAGACGTCCCGTATCAGCAGTGCCTCTAGTGAACTGAGACAAGATCCAACACAGTAATCTTTTGCCTTGCTGTCTGTGGAGGGTGGTACAGTTCAATCGCTGCTTCTGAGGGGCACAGTATACGGCATTTGTGCCTCAAACGCGCATCACTTCTGCAAATATTAAGATCAGTATTATCTGTAGCTGTTAACAGGGGAAGCACTGTAAGAACAATATATTTTGGGGACAAAAGACTCTGTGCTACAGATCTTTTACAGACCGGTTGCTGGCTCAACTTGCGTGTGATTAAAACCATTAGAGGACAAGCACAAGATGTATAAAATACATAAACTGCCCGCACTGTATTGCTTCTAACTTAAGTACAATAGACTTGTGAGCTGCTTAAAAACGGCATAAATTGGCGCTGTGGCTGGCAGGCATTCCCACACTTTCCCATCTGACTGCTAGGTTTGCTCTTGTCCCACTCCTCTGTGAGAGCACCAAATATTTGTGCAGCCATGGGTTCAGCGGTGAACCAGACTGGGAAGCAGATCTAACCTGAAACTAACCCAGCCCAAGGTGGCAATCAGTGGCCAAGCACAAGCGGGACCACTTCTGTTTTCAGCAATTTCAGTTTAAACTGCTCACAGAACTAGATGTTTTCCTTTTCTTTCCCTTCTGTAGTCTTAATTCCCCCATGCTTTTTATTAATTTTAGTGAAGTTGATTAGCTGTTATTCCCTTAGGATATTTAGAGTGACATGTCTCCCTCTACAATTATTCTCCTCTTTACCGCCTATCCTCTTCCTCCTCTTTTGCTGAAGAAGGTGTTTCCCCAGCAATTTCCCCTCTTCTGATGCTGTCTACTTTGTTCCGTAATTTTCCCACTAGTACAGCCATATCACTAGCTATGGAGTCTTTACTAGCCCTACTTTCCATTCATTCATTCTTTCCCTCCGCTTTGCTCATTCCAACCGTCAATGGATTAGATGGGATGACTAACAAACTTTGTCAGGCTATCTAATAAGGAATAGCCCTTGCACACTCTTCACCCTTTCCAACAGAAAATAAGCACAGGAAATTTCTGATGCATTTGGAATTTCAATGTACCTACTCTTTCAGTTGCTGAGTTGCAAACTATGGGCCCTTTCCTGCATTCCCACTATGAATCCACTGATCATTATGATCAGTGTCAATGTTAGTAGGGGCTTAAATAACTAAAGTGCCAAGCAATCACAAAAATCTCTGTAAGCTCTAGTGCTGTTTAAATACTACATAATTATTCAAAGTTAAACCGAAGAGGACCATAAGTGGTATACAGACCTAAAGTGCTATATGAGGATGGATCTCCTGCTACATATAACGCATCTGCATGAAGAAATGACAAATCCAAGGCACCAAGCCTGAATAAATGGCAAAGCTAATCTTAATCCTCATTTAAACATCCTTAGCTTTATCTCCTGCAGAAAGAATGCTGAAAATGCAAATCAATCAACTGCTGGCTGTGGTAAGCTTCTTTTGAGTGTCCCTTTTTTTTTTTTTTTTTAATTTGGCATCTCCTGCCCAGGGAATACTTATGCCTTAGAGGGCTTGGGTTTCTGTCTTAAGTTTTGCATTCACTTAGAACCTCCGTTTGAATTAACAAAATTAAATCATGAGTGAGAAGTCACTGTTTTGTTTGCAGTGCTTAATTTCCAATTGCAAAAATGTCTCTCTTTCCAAAATAAGAGCCAAGGAATGATGTCTGCTGAGGTATGCAGTATGTGGATGAACATGGCAGAAAAGTTTACCTTAAGTCACTTTAGATCCACTCACAGACTATAGTCATAGAGCATTACCCAAACTACAAGTATGTTGTCTTATAGGAAACTCAGTTTACTAAACAGTATCCAAGAGTTTCTTGAGATTAGTAATGCTTGCTGACTGAAATGGAGGGTTAGTAGTCCTGATGTAAAAACCTATTCGTCCAACAGCCAATGTTTTGAAAACATACGCTTGTGTTCTAAAAAGTGCCGATGTATCATACTACTGCGCGCTAGACAATCAGCCAACAGAAAATCAGTCCACATTAATTACACAGATTGGGTGGAAGTAATTTCCAGCTTGTAAACCACGGTAATAGGTGAGCTGTCAATAGATTAGTTCTAAAAGGTCTTCAAAAGGCAAGTTGAAAATCACTATACTAAGACATAGACCTATCTTGTATTATCACACTATCATATAGGTTTTATCTTTCATGTCTCATCCATGTGTGGAGGGAAAGATTACAGCCGTTCAGAGAAGTCTAATTTGCATGACTTTACATATTTCAGTCTTTACAGCAGAAAACAACAGTCAGAGAACATTGGCCCCAGCCTCCTGTTGCCTTTGAGAATCTCTCTAAAAAAATATGTAATTTATTCCGAAAAACAGATTCTCTCTGTCCAAACACTTGGAAGTCACAAAGCCGTAAGTCCTTCAACAACAGAAACTATCCTAGTCTCTCCTAGGAGACTGCCCCAGCGTGTTTACTTCCATTTATTTACATCTTGCTCTTCTCTGCAACAGCACAATAAAAACATCAGTCCCAGAGATGCTGATAGATTATGACACCAAGCGATCTGCCAGATTTAGCAGTGGGAGGTGATGATGTAGAAACAATCAGGAAGAGGCAGAAGAGCTGCCTGCCCCCATTTTGACACCAATGCGGTATCGAAGGGGAGAGAGATCCTTTTCTTTCTCACCCTCCTGTTCTGTGGCAACGTGGTCCTAGTGTCTTGGGCCAGTGCAGAGCTCTGGCCCTCTTTCGAGCAGCTGCGTTTGGTTTCTGCTATCCCATGAGGCAGGTTAGCGGGGCAGACAGCCAGTCAGTGGCAATTCCCCTCCTGTCTGCCTAAAAGATCTCACATCAGAACAAGAGTAGCTCCAGCCAAAATGTCATCGCTTTCAAAAAATCTGCTGGAGTTGATAATACTCAGCTTACTCCATTCTGTAGACAGAATTACACTGCACATCATAGAATTATACAAAATACCACAAGCTTGATTTTGTTGTTACCACGGGGAGTTTTACCCCGGGCAGCTTCACTTATGTACATGCAGCTACTTCAGTGTCACTGCAGTACTGGAGAAGGAATGTCCCAAGAGAGCTAGAAAGGATATGTGAGGACTGCAAATTTCATCATAATTCTCCATTAACAAAATATTTTGCATGTCTGAGTTGCACTCTCCTTACCCAGTTGCTAGTTTTGGATCTTGCAGCACCACAGAAAGTACGAAATCTTGTCAGAGGTTATCAGTTATCAGAGAGTGTACCTGTTAAATTTCCTGTTAAGTTCAGGAACATACAGGTTCCTATCTTTCAGAAACTGGGCTCTTACTAAACATATTACTAACAATAAAATTACTTCAATACATCAATCTTAGAATTTTCCACTGATTTCAGTGAATGTTGTGGAAAATTTTTCTTTTTCTAGGCAACTTGTGGGTAGGTACTATCCAAGCAGCTTCTTGAATGCTTCTTCCACCGGTGGCATAAGGTGAATAGATGACAGATATTTGTGTGCATGGATCTCCCTCTGCCCAACTAGCCCTGCTCTAAAAACGTAGAGAGCTCTTGTGGTTTCTGACCAGCTGTCACTCAGGTGATATGACCTTTTCTGCATAATGGATAAATCCTTTCCAAACGGCAGATATGATTCTTACAGCACCTAGCAAAGATTTCTTGGAGAATTTCTTCCTACCCTAGGAATATAATGATCTGAGCCACTGCTTTTGTTTTTCATTTTTGTGTTAGCATTTTAGAATATACTTGACCTTTTTTCTATTCAAAATCAGGAAAAAAAACCTTCCAATAGCATGATTTGGATTTTCAAATCTGCAGAAATGCAAATAATTTAATGTCATCTGTCTACAAGTAAGAAGATAGTGAAGTCTGAAACTGAAAGATGAAAAGAAAATACAAGGATGTGTCAAAATTCTTCCATTTATATATTTATCTTCAATATTCAGGTAACATGAATGGATTAACAACTATGTGTAGTTGTTCACTAGCTCCAGACTGTACGATTAGTGGGTGCAGAGGACCACAGAAACAGCATTTTGCAACAAAACTGGCGAGAGAGAGGGTGCTGTATGAATTGTTTCTCAAGTAATACAGGCTTATGTTTGTGGAGTAACATAAGCTGACCAGCTGATCTCGTGGTATATTACCTTACCTTTATAAATACTTGTAACGTTTGCAAACACTCGTGAGTTTTGAATAGAAAGTGCCAGGCAACCTGAATTGGACAGCTCTGTCTATAATGACTGAAAATGGTTTAGTTGTTGTAGAACTAGCCAGTGAGCCCCTGTAAAAACACTAGCACTGAGCTATTTCCTGTGGTTCACAGTAAGAATATTCATTGAATTGAGCCCTATCATACTAAAAACTTTGAAATGTAAATTAATTTTGTTGTTCTTTTCCAAAAGGCCTACCTCTTTTTCTTCCTGTAACAAAACCTGTCATTTAACTTTAATTCTGAGCTCCAAAATCTAGAGCAAGTTTCAACTATGAGAAAACTTGCCTGATTCATAAACTGCCAGTGTTTGCATACAATTCTCTGATAAACCCAGCAATTACAGGACTGATTATTTAAAACGCTGGCACTTTATAATTACATTATTTGGCATGATTTTACTGTGTAGTTTGTTTTTTCTTTGAAATCCGAATGATATCCGAGATGTACGCTTCCTACTGGATTGCAAGCAGTTTCTTCCATGCATCCTTCTGCACTGAAATATGACATAGTTATTTCAAAATTCAGGGTCTGCAAATTAAATGATATAAGAGCATAGTAATAATTAGTAGAAGTGAAGTCTTGGCCCTAATGAAATCAAGTAACAAACTCCCATTGATATTGCAGACTCAGGATATAAGCACATAACAGCAGTCGTGCAGACGGCACAGGCTGAAACTTCCACCCAAGCAGAACTGCAGCTTGCTCTACTGCAGCACAGGTTCGTTCAGGAATATCTGACTGCGCAGTCTGGACCCAAAACAAATACCCTTCCTTTTAGTAAGTCTTAGTCCTTTAAGATTACAGTTCCTGCTGTACATCTCTAGGGAAGGCTTCACCTAGTTCCATGAACTTTATTTCTACTCCCCTTACCATACACCAGAACTAACACCTAATAACATCTGCAGACACACGGAATAGCATATAAATTACCCAGGAAGAGAGAATCTATTAAGAAATGTTAAGGAGGATGGTAGCAATGTCTCGTGAGAGTACACTAACTCATCTCCATCGCATCTCTTCTGGGCAGATTTCACCAGGGCAAAACAACATTGGCTAGAAGCAGCTGAAGCCATGATACATCAAATGGCTATTTTAAACAAGGAAAAAAAATGTTACATTTTGTAACAAATTAAGTTTTGCAGCAGCAGTTTTATATGCCAAATGCATGTATTCCCGACAGCACATACGCAGGACATGTAAGAATTTTTGAAATCACACAAAATTATGTTGCACTATGCTTATACAGTTACATGCAATATAGAATACAAAATAAATACAGTTACACATAATGCAAAAAGGTTTGTACAGCTCTTTCAAAACACGGCAAAGAGGTGGGGAAAACACTAGCTGTTATTACTAACGTTTTTAATTAGCATTCCCGTCTGCATCTTAAATCACCCCCCTTTCAGCATTTCCATTAAAACGCTGTTAACCCCTTGTACTCACCCCCCTCCCCCGGCGCAGCTTCGCCGCCAAAGGGACCCGGCCGGCGGGCACGAACAGCAAGGCCGCTGCGCGGGGATCCGCCTCGCCCCCCGCCCGCCTCGCAGTCCTCCCTCCA